TCCTTTAAAGACAGAAAGAGCAGAACTTGTGAATTTAAAAGAATCAGTTGAGACATTGTTGTTCTTGCTAATTAACAAGGAAGTGTTAATGTGGCATTTAACACTTAGATTTTAACTACTGAACAGATGAAAGTAAACTGGGAAGATTGGGCTCCAACTGTAAAAAGGCCTTGGGAAATGTGTGGATAGAATCGTTTACACCTCTGCCATTGCCCCATCTAAGCAACCTGACCCCCACTCCTTCCACTCCCAAACTCTGGTCTCTCTTAGCTATTTAGATGGGGACCAGACCCAGGAGGGAAGTCTTGCTTTGCCCAAATTAACAATGAGTAGAAGTTCCAGCCTAGGTATTCATTAAGCTTAGAGAAGGTTGTGTTGCCTGATGTTCACCAATGAAAGGGCTTCATGGGATGTTAGTTGCTATGCTGTGGATAGTGTTCCCAAAGGCATATGGGTTAAAGCTTTGGTCACTGATCTCTGCCACTATTGGAAGGTGGTGGAGTCTTTAGGAGGCAGGGCCTGGTGGAGGAGCTTGTCATTTGGGACATGACATTGAAGAGGATATTGGGATATTGGCCCTTTCCTGTTTTTCTTTTGCTTCCTGGCTAACATGAGGTCAGTATGCTTCATCCATCATCACTCCTGCCATGTTGTAGATACCACAAAAGACCCAAAGCAACAGGCTCAAAACTGCCATAGACTAAACTCTCCAAACCATGAGCCAAAATAAACTATCCTTCTTTTAAATTACTTTTCTTGGGTATTTTGTCACAGAGACAGAAAATTAATACATTAGCTCTTGAATAAACAAGGAGGTTGAGACTTTTTTGTTTCCTCTGATTGTGAACACCGCTGTCCCTTGAGGAGCTACAACCAACTCACTCCATGAGAGAGACTAATCTGTGTTTCTGAGAATGGAAAATGCTGTTATTGTTGAAATATAAAATTAAGCAGCCCTGGAGGCCTCCAACTATCCTTCATCACAACATAGGAAAACTTCTTTAACCTTCCCCCACAATGTTAGCTAAGAACTTTTCAGAAATGCAGATTATCAGGCACTACACCAAACCGATAATCAGAAACTGGGTAGGTAATCTTAACGGCCCACAAAAGTTTAAGCACAACTGATATGAATCATCTCCAGTTGGATATTTTGGTACTTGTGGACAAATGTTTTTATTGAATACTACATTTGGCAGGAAATAAGACGAAAGTAAATGATTATAATGAGAAAAGCAAGATACAGAAAAAGGAAGAAATACAAAAGATAATAGGATCTGGTAAATTTTCTTTTATGTAAGTTACACCTCAATAAAGAAAAACACACACAAGAAAATATGTGTGAATTTATTCCTCAAAGTGTATACTGTGTACTTTAAACATATCTTTGTGCACCAAAAGTTTCATAAACTGCTAATACACAGCATCTGGCAGTCACTCCTATTGATTTTTTGTATTAGCTAAAATTCCTTACATTCATTGTAACTTTTCATCAGTAAGAAGCCAAAGCATAGAGTGCTAGCCCTGTTCCTTTCTACTCTTAGAAATCCTTCAAAAACAATGAGAATAACTGAAGAAATACAAACTATTTTACCTTTCTAAAATCACAGAGCATTCTAACCTTCAACCTCGGTATTTGAGGAAGAACTGCCAACTGTAGCAAAGAGCAGACAGGTATGGGAAACAAATGAGAAAATCAGTGGACCTCAAACAAAGGCAGCCGAGCATAGTCACCCATGAGCAGGACTGCATTCCAAGAAGCAACAGTGTCTCCTGTTTAAAAGCTTTTCTGTTTTAAACAAAGGAAATGGGATGCCCAGACTGTAGGGAGAAACTTCCCTGGTTGCCAATTAGCAGCACAATATCTCAGGAATTCCACAAAAGAACACACAAACATACTTGACTGGAGAGACTGAACTCTAACTGGAGGGGGGAAACTGGATTTTGAAGCTTATCTTATTCATATTGATCTTTATGGGCTACAAAAGAGCCATGGTCAAAATAAATCTATTTCAACCAACATGACATCTTAAATTTCCTTGTACATCAAGTTAAATTCCAACTATTGCACACAATTGACATCATCCTGGTCTCCTACAAAACTCTTGCACAAAGTCAAACCAGCAAGATTTCATCTAATTCAAAAAGTCAAACTGATCAGCATTACATCTTCCTAGAGTACTAGAGATAGAAAATACAACAAGAACAACACCAAAACAATTACAAGACCAAACATTATGGAAAACTTTTTAAACTATCAATACCCAAAGTGTCAACATATAGAGCTTAAAGAAAATATATGATGAGTGCCAGAAAAACAGGAGCTGACAGAGCTGAGTGGAAAAAACTGAATGAAAGAACAAAAATTATTGAAGCTTCAATGATCGCAATGCAAAAGAAAGCATAGTGCTAATAAGACCTTTATAGAAATATAGAACATTTATTGCACAAATAAATGTAAGTCAAGATGTTTAAGGAATGATCAATACACATACAAACAATGAAACTAAAAAGCAGTGGCCACAAATAGAATGAAAAACATTCAAATATGTAATTTAAAAATCTTTTCTAGAAATATGTCTAAACTACAGAGTAAAAGGGAAAAATGATACCAGCCAATCATCTAGGAGAAAATGATACAGATTGATCAACACTTGTAGAGCTAGCAGCCTTCTAGAACAAAATACAAGGAAACAAAACAGCTCTGCTAGGCATCAGATTAAAAATAAAGTCTCTAATAGTGTGAATTAGCAACTCTAATTCAACATATGTCAATGGCAAAAGAGACTGGTTACGTTTTGAGGGAAAGAAACTACAGTGCTAAAACTCTAATAAGGAAACTTTGGATACAACAGACAGAAGGTAAACTTTTCTACATATGAAGAATTCTAATTCCCATGAGCCCTTCTTAATGAAGCTATTTAATAGAGCCAACCAAAAGATGTATAAAACGAATGTAGAAATATGCCTGCTTAGGACACTGAATTTAATTGACTGTGAAATTGAGACCAAACAGCTGATCAAATATGGTTAAAAAAGCAAAGGAAAATGTCACAAAAACATAGCAAAAGTATAAAGATTAGAAATTAGAGGCAAATTGAGAAGAAAAGGTGGGTATTGATATAAGATCTGTATTTCTTCATCTTTATTAGATAGTGATTAAGTTACATATTTTTAAAGAAACTGATAAATATGTAACAAGCATATTTTATTTAAATATGTCATGGTACATATTAGAAAAACTAAGAGAAACATGATGTTCAAGAAGCATTATGTTCTTCTGTAACTTCATAGCAAGGAGTAGTGTAACATAAGAATTTTGTCATTGCACAAAATAGGATTCAGTGGTTAATATTCCACAGATACAGAGCAGTGGTAAGTACATTTTATAGTTATAAAACAAAAGTAATCACTGAAAGAAGTGAAAATAAGAGAAAAATGTTCATGTTATAAAAAAAATCCACAAACAAGCCAAAGCCAAGGAAAAAACAGAAATACTAACCACTGATAGCATAATATAAAGTACTTTAAAAGAACTAAGACCAAGCAAACATGTCATGTCGATAAAAGCAGTCTAAGTATACACAAAGAAAAAGGAGTTTCAGACTGAACACAGCAAAATCCAGCTATATACTTAGGCACACACTTCAAACAATGTGTCTCAAAAACGTTAAAAATAGCCTGATAGGTAAATGAATGCAAGACAGTTGTAAAAAAGAAAAGAAGGCATGATTAACAAATTTACTACCAGATTAGGTATCAATTTAGGACAAAAAGAATATTAAAAAATTTAAATAAAATATGCTTGTAATATATAGGAAACAAAAAGATTCCCAGTTTATGAATTTGGTCAACTTACAGCAAACAAATTTAAAGATGTGTATAAAATAATTTATAGACTCATAAAATATTAGTGGTTTTAAAATAACTAAATAAAAATGCATGTAAAGAATAGAAATACTTATTTAAAAAACTCTAAGCCAACATGGTTTCATAGATAAATTTCATTAAACTTTGAAGACCAAATAAAAAAGTTAATTGTTCCAGGGGATAGAAAAATATTCTGCAAGAATTTTATCAAGTGTAAAAAAACTAAAAAAAAAAAAAAGAATTTTATCAAGTGTAAGAGTAAAACAGGAAGACAATAAAGAAAACGTAAGAGAAAACTAAAAACGAACTCTCATTGATATCAAAAGCAAAATCCCAAGTGAAATATTTGCACACAGAATCTACAACCAAATTAAGAAAATAATACATCATAACCAGGTGCTTCAATTTGGGACTTACAATACTGTACACATGCTTATCTCTCCATCCAGCTGTCTACCTATCTGCCTACCTACTTATGTAATTATGTAACAACATAGCAGTATGTCTTCACATCCACTTCATTCACAGGAGTTGGCAACTTATAGTTTCTAATTCTTCTGCAAAGTCAAAATAACAGTGAAAGTGATTCTGGACATCAAGGCAGATATGACAGTACAACTAATGACACTTGAGAAAAAGGACACCCAGAACTGCTTCAGAGGCAGGAACACCGGGATTAATCTGAGCAACTTCCCTGAAGATAACAGTATGTAGTATAACAACCACTGTTAACCTCTGTCATTTGGTTTGAAACCCCGTATCATTTTTAATATCCTCACTTTGTGTTGTTTGTATTTTGCTATTGTTCTTTTTTTGTACTATTCTCTTTAACATAAAAAAAAAATAAAACAAAGGTCGTATTTTGAGGGAGAGTATGGCAATGTACTTTTTACAATAATTTTATTTTAGTATATGTGCTGCCAAAGTGAGCATGACTGTAATAATTTTTTAATTTAAATACTGATGGTATTATCACACTTCATCCATAGGGATAAATATGTATATATAAAGCTATCTATATATCTACCAATATCTAAACTTACATATCTATATTCTAAAACCACCACCTTGTTGAATAGGTAATTGTTAAATCAGAAAGAGCATAACGATTCTGAAAATCGTCATGGTCATTTAACGTTTTATTAAAGGATTGCAAAACAACATCATTTAAGTTTTATTGTAGGCAAGAACAAATAGAACTAATGACTGCTGAAAATTCCACAAATAGTGGAGAAATCTTAAATTTTCTCTGTTCATAAATGATATGATGATGTACCTAGAAAGCGCAACAGAAAAATTTAAAAAATAGTTAATATAACAAAAAATTCATTAACAGAATTAGTTTATAGCGATTATACACTAATATATAATAATATAAAATTATATACATCAGAAATGAAATAATCAATTGAAGATCCAACAAAAAGAATGCTTGTTTATAATAATAACACAAAAATTAAATACTTAGGAGTAAACAATAAGAAATGTAAAAGAAGGGGCCGGGGATTTAGCTCAGGGGCACAGGGCCTGCCTGGCAAGCTCAAGGTTGTGAGTTCGATTCCTGGTACTGGACAAAAACCAACCAAACAAACAAAAAAAAAAAGTCAAAGAAAATTGAAAGGAAACTTTTAAAGCATTTCTCAAAGATACAAAAGTAGACTTGGACAAATGTATATACCTTTCCATTAGAAAAGATTACCACAAATTTATTTACCCAAAACCATACAAATTTGTATGATATCAAACATATATCTACAAATGTTTTCTTACAACTAGACAATTTTATGCTAAAGTTGGTGTGGGAAAAATTCAAGAAGAGTTAATGAAATAAAACCTAATAAAAAAGACCTTAGTGTTATCGTATTTTTTCTACATTAGATAAAATTAACATGACTGATAACACCAAAGGGTAAGAATTGGAACTAGCACACATTAGAAAAAAGAATGACAGCACTGCATACAACAAAACATTCACCTCTACTAATAATAGCCAAAAATAGAAAAAGTCAAGTATCCATTAATAAAAGATAAACAAAGCATGGTATATTTATACAATAGAATACCACCCACTAGTTAAAAAAACTAATTACTGATATATACATATATGGCTGTCAGAAAATAATGCTAAATGAAAGGAACCTTACATAAAGTTGTATTTAGCATACGATTCCACTTTATGAACTACAAGAAGTAGGGATTTACTGGAAATGAGAGGCGTTACCTGGTATGAAACATGTGAATTTGTCCCTGAATGCTACATTTTAAAATTTGTGCATTTCACTGTATGTAAATTTACCTTAAAAATAAGGAGACCACTAAAAATGTCTACTTTAATTTATAAGTATTAGAATATTTGGGTGTGTCATACAGCAGAGCTTACAATGAAATACATTTCTCAAAAATAAGATGGACTGAACCAGGGATGGATAGATAAATATGTGACTAATTTAGTTTAGAAGAAACTAATGGTAAGATATGGGGAATGACCTATGGATGCTGACTGTAAAATGCTTCCATCTACTTTGAACATTAGGAAATTTTTCATGATAAAATATAGGTTGTTAAAACAGTAAAAGCGGGAAAGGAAAATGCTATCATACATCTAAAATTTAACAAGAAATGTGTTGTTACCACAAGAATACTTAGGAGTAAAAATATCTAAAAATGGACTAAAGTACAGATGAAGATTTTGTATATGACAAAGGTGACCTCCTAAATCACTGAAAAATGATAGGCATTTTAATAAACAGTGTTGACATACTGGATATCCATTTGAATCACAGCTAAAATGGGATCCATTCCTCATATCATACATCATAATAAATTCCAAATGGATAGAAATGCATTCTAGCCAGGGTTCTCCAGAAAAGCAAAACCAATAGGAGAGATATATACAAATATAGTGAGATTCATTTTAAGGAATTGGCTCATGCAACTGTGAAGTCTGACAAGTCCAAAATCTGATAAAGTGCGACCACAGACTGGAGACTTGCAGGGTGAGATAAAAGGCAGCCTGCTGGCAAATTCCTTCCTGTGAGAAGAAGGTCATTCTTTGTTTTCTTAAGGCCTTTCAACCCTTAGATAAGGTCCCCTCCCTCCCATTATAGAATATAATCTGCTTTCTTCTAAATCGGTTGATTTAAATGTTAATATCATCCAAAAACACCTTCCCAAAAAGAACCAGAAAGAAATTGCTCTGGGTACCATGGAACCGTCCAATTATCACATAAAATTAACCATGATGCTCCATACATGTACCCAAAACTTGAAACCATACAAGTATTTGATGAAAACATGATTGAATTCCTTTATACTCAAAATCCAAACACAATGCAAGTAAAGCATAAGAGATTTTGACTAAAACGTTTCACATGATAAGAAAAGAAAATATTACATGCAAATTCCAAAGGTAAATGGCCCGCTAGGAATAAACATTTGCCCGATATGCATATGTGGCAGATAAAGTGATTTCTTGTCTAATATGTACTGTATATAAAGAGCTCCTAAAATTGAGGAGAAAAAGGTCAAATATTGAAAGAACAGTGGGTGACATTCCATGGCTTCTGATGTAGTACACTGAGGACAAATCACATAGGCAGTACTGCTTCCAAAAGTGTAGAAAATGAGAAACGAGGAAGCCCAACTTGCACATTATACAAAACAAGTCTCTAAAAAATATTTTTTATATGTCCATATCCCATAAGATTTTTTGTCAAAAGAGAAAGTTGGGAAAGCATGGCAGATTAGAGAGAACTAAAGGGACAAATTCAATATTTGATCCTTGATGGCTGTAAACAGCTAAGAAAACACTATTAGGACAAGTGTGGAAATTACAATATAGGTTGTACTTTAGATGACTGGTTTGGTGGTGCATGTTCTGAGAGTGATAATGCTATTAGAGCTATGCAAGAGAGTATCCTCTTTCTTAAAAATGGATGCTGAAGTGTTTCTGGGGAATGCCTCACAATGCCTGGAACTTCTAAACATGCCAGTTTTCATACCTAGATAACAGAGGACAAGCAGACATGATAAGGGAATTCAAGTGTAGACGGTTCAGGTGTTCAATGTTCTTATTCTTCATCTTTTTATAGACAACCTGAAAACTAGATTGATCTTCAGAACTGCTCCAAGTTGGGCTGAGTGTTCCAGCCCTTATGTCTCTCCCTGACCAGTCATTTGATATGGGCAGTCATTTGATAAGGGCAAAATGTGTCCTTGTGCAGGACCACTCTGCAGTGGGGAAATCCTAGGAGATGACAGCTGAAACTTTCATCTACAGAATTCCCAGTATCTGAACAAACAAAATGCCTCATACAGGGGCATCTAGGCAGCACATCATGGTATCTATCTAGTACAAGATGCATCAAGAAATATAAAGAAATGTCAAAAGTTATTGCCAGAGGAAACATTATTTTCTCAGCCACAGAAAAGCCAATGGGAGGGGAAAGTCTTCCATAGGAACGAGCTCTTGATAAAACATCACATTTTATCCTAGGATCATTATTGCTGTCGAGATTTTATTTTTGCAGCTTTTAAAATCAACTCTTGTTAGGTGACTACATAGAAAACAGCTCTTTTCACCCTGAAATTACGTGCCCGATTTAGCTGAAAGAAATATGGTAATACATGATCTTAACTGAAACACAGTAGAGCAATTTTCTTCTGAGAAGGTCAGGGTTAACCTTCAGTGCCCTAACTCATAGAAGGAACCATCTTTAACTTGAATCAGCATATTTTCATTAAGTTCACATCACCCTTCAAGGTGCAAAGAGGGCTTTCAGTTCGAGGAAGGCAACAACTAATTAGAAATAAAATGGGGAGAAAGGCACAGATTAAGCTGTGAGAATAGCAGAGCCATTACCGGCAAGGCATTCTATAGGATGTGGGAAGCACTTAGCTGTAAAAAGTAGAAACCAAAGCTGGGCTCTTTGACACAAGACATTTCAAAGGTGCAGTGTGCTTTTTTATCTTAATTCTAACATTCATAGAGGTAAATACACACACACACACACACACACACACACACACATACACACACATCTAAAGAACATTATTCTTGGTAGCTCACAAGGCAGGGAGCCTGTAAATTTCAGATTGTGTAGGACAGGCACAATTCCAAATGTTCTATCCTTTTGTTCTTGTACAATAAACTATTATTTCTTCCTGCAAATTCCTAATTTCACATTCAAGATACAACTATATGTACTAGCTGTAACCTCAAAAATCAGTTAGTTCATTATTCATTGCATTTTGAACATTGGAGATTGTGATGTATAAGAAAATACAAAAATAAGACAAGTACACAGAGAATTGCAGTCGGTCTATGTCTATAGATTTTTCTTTTATTTAGAAGTGCAGGAGCTGGGGATTTAGCTCAGCGGCACAGCACATGCCTGGCAAGCATGACGTTGTGAGTTTGATTCCCGGTACCAGAAAAAACAAAACAAAACAAAACTAACAAACAAACAAACAAAATATATATATATATAAATGCAACACAATGCCTGAAACATAGCAGGCATGTAATACATATTCATTGTGTAAATTTTAATGTGTCCCCAACAGAGAAAATCCTGTTATCTTTTAGAAATGTAAAAATAATGGTACAGATGATTTAAATGTTGCATATATTCTGAACAATTTCAATGTGTAGAATCTCATAAAAAAGACTTTATTTAACAACGGATGTTTCATTTTTAATAAACTACTGAAAATCCCTAAATTTGGGGATAATATTGGCCATTTTAGTTGACAAATTAAAATTTTTAAAACTGAATGAACACATTGTCTACTTCTTATTTTGGTCTAGAGTTTACGTGCTATTTTCTCAATGCAGGCCTCATTTAGAAGATGCAGTATCTAGTGATTTTTTTTCCTGTATTTTCTTCCGGAAATGAAAATATGGATTATTTTTCAGTTTTATATCAAATATATGTGAGATCATCCTTACGAGTTGTCAAATTGAATCAATTTTCCCAGTTTACTCTGAAGTAACTCTTCATATAAATAAAAATGTCCACACAGGGATAGAAGGGGGGAAATGTCCATAGATTGGAAAATTCTTGGACATACATATCTTAAAACAATTTGTAAGTGTTTTAGAAAGGTGGATATTTGTGATGTATCATTTTAACCACTCTTTCTGAAGTCAGAAAAGTCATAGGGTAATTTGAATTATCATTTTTTGTTTTCATTTATTTGGTACTATACTGAGAGAGTAAAGAAGACAAGTTGGGGCTGGGGATTTAGCTCAGCAGCAAAAGCACCTGCCTGGCAAGCACAATGTCGTGAGTTTGGTTCCCGGTACCGGAGAAAAACCAAAAAAAAAAAAAAAAAAAGGAGAAGACAAGTTATCCAAATTTTAGTAACAAAGCCTGTTTTCCATCAATCGAATCTGTTCCTTTCCCTCACTTAAAAGATGGTACTTTTTCTGTTGCCCTTGATTTTATTTTGAAATGAACTTTTCTCTTTTTTTTAATCTCCTTCCTGAGGTACTCACTTTGAATCTCTGTGTCATGAAACGGAAGCCTTAGTTCTCAATGAGAAGCACATGCATAAAACTCTGCTGTCCTTGAATTTCAATGCTCTTGATGGTTCTAATGTCATGAAGCTCTGTCAAATGTTAACAGAAATTATAGATAGGATTGTTAAAGAAATTTTCAAATCAACAGCTTTTTCTGTCATCATTTGATAATAACCTAACATCCACCATCTATCATGGTGAACCCTTGACAAAAAAATTTTGCTGTTCTTAGTCTAGTATAATAATAACAACATGCCTTTCAAATTTGAAGCATTCTAAAATTTTCTAATATATTTTTCATATCCACTGTATGTCACATATGAAAAATAATGGGCAATGAATATAATCATTCATTTGATAATTGGAGTTATTTCTAAATAAAGTGATTCTGTATTTATCTAACAGTTCTCTTTAGGAAAAGAAATACAAAATTTTTCATATATTTTCCTTTTCCTAAGTGTTATTAAAATGGAGATGCAATAAATATTGTTGAACATATTAATCGAAGCAGTAAAAACAAATTTTTAAACAGCATTTTCACTTTATCTGTCAACACAATTACAGTTCTCTAAATACAAGTACTTAATATAAGTAATTACAACAGTGTTGCTTACCTTCAATTTATTTTTTAAAACACTGATGCAAACATCCATGGAAATCAACATTCAAGGGATAGAACATGCCTTGTCACAGATTCTTACCAGATTTTACATCATTCAAAGTGCAGTAAGTTTTTAGATGGCTAAATCCACCCCACACCTTTTTCCCTCGTGCGTTAGCCTATCCTTGAATACTGAACACTGGAAATGCAAAACCATGAACAGGGATTAGGAAGGAAAGACACCATAAGAATTATCTTTATTTCTAACCTGATAGGTACAGTGACAAATGTCCTGGTTAACGATCTTAGCTTAGGTCAATGGTTAAACCATTTTGAGACAAGATTTGGGTCAAAGAAGTGCTGCTCTCAACAAGCTTTCATGCAAGTGATGGCGGATAGCAGCTGTAGCTGGAGATCTTTACCCGTGTTGAACCAGAGCAAGGCCATTCTCAAGAACACAGTGCCTGAGGCAAGTCACATGAATTAGCTGGTCTAGACTCAAGAGCACAGAACGTGGGGGCACCTGAGACAAACCATGTGGATAAGCTATGAGGTGGTTTCATGTGATATTCAACCTCCCAAGTGTATAAATAAATCACTGCAGCCTTCAGAGAACTCCCTCCCTCCCTCACCCCCCTCCTCTTTCCTTCTTTACTTCCCCATCAGTAAACTTTTGGCCTCAGTTTTCTGTATTTCAATGCTTGTTCTTTTTTCTCCATCCTCAGCCCGGAAACATCAAGAGCTGGGCAGGATGCAGCATTTGTCGCCTTCTGTGATGGAATTAAAAGGTCAAGTTACAATGGTTTGTCCCATAGAGAGCTGCTAGTAAAGGGCTCCACCATCTCATTCCTAAATTGTAAGGAAGAGATTTGTAAAACAAAAATTTTAGTACCATGCACAAAATAGATAAGCTGACAAGGAATATGCAAAGGACAGGAAATCATTACCTCTAAGAGATATGTGCGTATTCGCATCCATTGAAGTATCACCAGTTGCCAACCTACAGAAACAACGCAGGTCCAGTCAACAAATGAATGGATGAAGAAAATGTGTGCATGCCACAGAATATTATTTGGCCCTTAAAAAAGAAGGAAATTTTTGTTCTTTGTGACATAAAGGAACTTGGAGGACATCAGGTAAAGTGAAATAAACAAGACATACGAAGACAAAGACTACATGATTTCTCTTATATGTGGAATCTAAAAAGCTGAACTTGTGAAAACAGCAAATGAAATGGGCATTACCAGGAGTGGAAAAAGGAGGACGCTGGCCAAAGGACACAGACTTTTAATTATAGGTTGATAATTTCTGGTGATCCAGTGTACAGCCTGGTGATTATACTGTAGTTAATAACAGCACTAATTTACTACAAAAGTAGACCATGAGTGTCATCACCACCACCAAAACAGCAAAAGAAAGTAAGAAAAGAAGATAATTCTGTGAGGTGAGGTGAGGTGATGGGCATATTAATTAATGACTCTGGTAATTATTACATAATCGTGTATCAAATCAAGCAACATGTATGCCTTGAATATACACAATTTTCACTTGTAAATCATGCTTCCATGAAGCCGGAGAAGATGGGGAACAAAGCAGATTTGCAGTAAGTTTTCTAGTTCTGTTCACTTCTGTTTTCCACATTTAATGCACCTAGCCCAATGCCTGAAACACTAACTGAGTGTACCACAGGCAAAAGCCAGTTACTGGATAATTGGGTCTTTTCTTTCATGATAGCCTCACCAATTGAGTGAAGCCAATCATAGTAAATATCTTCAAGTGGATATACCTGCGTGTGTGTGTGTGTGTGTGTGTGTGTGTGTGTGTGTGTGTGTGTGAATGTGGGTGTCTTACAAGGGGGATATAGCTGTTAAAGTTATGCAACTTGAAATTAAAAGCACAGAATAACGTAATGTTTAGAAAGCCAAATTTTCCCAGATCTGAGGGAATTAATGGAGTTATTCAAAATTTTAAAACTCCATTGCTAGTTATTAGGGATTTAGGGCTTTAATCTTAGACTAATTGGAATAGTTGGAAAATTAATGCAGCCAAAATAATAATTAGACTTTAAAAGACTTTAAGCTGAAAATCAAATCATAGATTGAAATTTAAATTAGAGAGAATAAAAGTGTTTTAAGAACCAGAGAAACAAATTAATGTAATGCAGTTCATTTGGTAAATCATAATACAAACATAATTTGTTATTTGTTTGTTGTACAGGCTCAAATTAACAATGAGTGATATTTAAATTATATTTCATATGTCCACCACTAAAAAGAAAGAAATTTCCTTCATGTACTCTCCTCTAAAAACAGCAATTCTTCTTAACTATTTGCAGTTTTTATTCCCCTGTCCTTTAGTTTTTCTTCAGTCTAAGTTCATTTACTCTCACATTGCTAAAGCTGAACTTGTCCATGTTCTAACTAACTTCAAACCAAAATTAGCTAAGAATTCTGTTTTGAGACTCAGGTTTATCTGTACTTCTCCATGTGTATTTTTTACAGGACACAAATTCTCCATGTCAAAGCTGATCCTTTCCTCTTTTAATTGATTCCTGAATCTACTACTTTCTCCTTATTTATTATTGCCTTATTTCCTTAGTTACTCCAGATAGCACAAAATTAACAACTTGCCTTCTCTCTCTCAATACATAATTGATTCCTATCGATCCCTAGTCTGTCTACTTCTGAAGGAGGCAATCTTTGTTCCTGGCTTGGCCTACTGCCACCCTGTTTATTAATGTCTCTCTGTCTGATCTTCCCTCTGCCACTGACCTTGACTCACTGTTCACCCCAACTCCAGAATGATCCACAAAAAGTCTGCCTAGTACTGGCTATGATAGAGAATCCCTTAATAGTTCACATGGACCCCAAGATACCATTTCAGATATGTAGATCTTTCCCATTGCTTCACTCACTGGCTGAATTTAAGTGATACTGAACTGCAAGTGTAAGTCCATTGCTCTCTGGACTGAATTGTACCACCCTGAAATTCTTGTTGAAACCTTAAATCTCAATGTAATTGTTTTTGGAGACAGAATCTTTAAGAACGTAATTGGAGTTAAATGAGGTCTTAAGTGTGAGACCCTCATCTAATAGATTTGATGCAGTTACCAGAAGAGGAGGAGCCACCAAAATGCATGGATGCATAGAAAAGTTTCTGAAAACCTCACAAGCCGGCAGTCATCTTCAAGCCAGGAACTGAGACTCCCAAAAACCAACTCTGACAGCATGTTGATTTCAGCCTTCAGTTCTCCAGAACTATCAAGAAGTAAATTTCTGTTATTTAAGACACACAATCTGTCATAATCTGCCATGGCAGCCCTATCAGATTATTCACCTGCCCCATCCAATCTGGGGCTAGCAATGCACTTCTCCTTTTTTCCACATCTCCTTATTCCTGCATTGGGCAGACTGCTTCCTGGTGGTTTTTGCAAATACATCTTGACCCCTCCCCTAAGCAAGATTGGATGAAGTGTTCTTTATACATAACAGATACTATGGCCCCTTATTATTGTATTTCAAAGGTCTAAATTTTAAATTCTAGCTAACTAGAAGTTATCAGGGTGGAGGAATGTATCTTATACCATTTTTATGCCCAGCACCGAGAATAGATAATCAACTCACACTTGTTGGACAGATGCATAAATAGTACCTGATGCCTAGTAGATGTTCAATAACTGATAAATGGAAAGATATGGAAGAGCAAGTTATACAGAAAAGTTTAAACAAAATTGACAGGAACTGCAACTGATTATACTCAAAGAGGCAGAAGCAACTGTAAAGTTCAGTAACAGATCAGTAAAGGAAAAACAAAGCACATTAATTCGATATCTAGACATAAAGGTAGCATGGGTTTACAAACAAGAACAAGAAACAATGGAAAACACAGATGAGATAGCATATTTGGAACAGATTTAGCTGTAATTGCTCTACATCAAATAGTCCTGTGCATTTTTGTGCAAGAGTACAAATTTCATCTTCTTGGTTTCCCTTGCCTCCACCTATACCTGTAGGAAAAGTGGTTATAAAATAAACCTTTTAAGATTTCATGAGATATTTCATGTTTTGTCCCTCTAATGGTTCTATTAAGTCTCTTCAAAGGGGCACTTTTCTACCAGAGCAAACTTGAAAGAACAGAACATTTATTCCAAAAGCAATTTCCTTCCCCAGTTATTTTCTGTATTCCCTTGACACTGTTTTTCGACAGCTTTGCTTGAATAAGAGCTTATTTAGTCCCACACCAGTTTCTCCTGCTGCTTGAACCTACAGTCAAGAATCAGGCCCTTCTGTGTGACCCCCCAATCCAATACCATGGAAGTGATTGCAGTCACACAAATACAGAATGTGTTTTATTGTAAGATGAGTTCAGATATTTATAAATAAAATTAAAGCCAATATTCACAAAATGCGTACAGAAGTGCATTTTCTTTCCTTTTCTCAATTCATTCAAAGAAACTGATCATGTTCCAAAATGGAACTTTTTGTATTTACAGAAAAATACTGGAAACAAAGAGTTAATGGTGATGCTGCTGTTAATAATGATTCCTAACATCATCTTGTAAAATTTACAACAGGTTAGGGTTTTACAGCCATACTGAGGGGGAAAAAGGGATTAATTGTAATATCCCATTTTATAGATAGGAAAACAGACTCAGAGAAGTTAATTTACTTAAGATTGTAAAGTTTTTCAACCAGAAGATGCCTTATTAGCCGTCTGAAACTAGTTCCTTTGTTTTGAAAAATGAGAAATATAATATAGTTGACTTTCCCAAGATCAAATGTCCAGTAAGAACCAAGGCTCTCCCAACCTGCTGCGTAGCACAGTAGGAGACAGGGCAGCTGGATTCTTCAGAGGCACCGGTTCCATTCCAGGAATACAGTCCCTTAAGAAAGGTATGTTTATTATTGTAGGCCTTTTATTTTGTAAGAGTGGAAAGTAATCAAATGTCACTTTTATCAGGAAGAGGAGACTTTCTGGGAAGTTTGAACAACAATTTACTGAAAGAATTTGTAGAAGACAGAGATCCCGAAGACCTTTTGAGGTCTATTTGCTGTCCCTCATACCTGTTTGTCTGAAGGTGGTTCCTGCTTTGCAGGCTTTGGAGCTGGTCCTCCAAGAGGGGAACTCATCCAAAACAAGCGGGTTTCTCAGTGTTCCAAGCTTAACAGCCTTATTCTCACTGCTTCATTACCACTACTGGTGGAGATCCCAAAATACCTTGCGGAAAAGAAATGGAATTTTTCTTCACAAAGTGGCCCTAGATCCTTGGCGTCATGAGGCATTTAAATAGAACTAAATTCAGCAAGCCTCTACTGAATACTCTCCTATATTCGTAAAAGTACTTCAAACTATGCCAGTAGTAGTCTGAGAGAAGCAATGTAATTTTTAAACTTGTGTGTACTGTTTTCCAAACAGGGAGCTATAACACTGTTTCTGACTAGACCAAGTTACACATCTATTCTTCCGCAGCTTCTTAGCTTCCTCTGCTCTCCCACCCAAGCCTGACCACAACTTCAGAATTTGCTCGGAGTCTTGTGAGTCTGCACCCAATCAGTCCAGAGCAGCGAAAGCAACCACGGTAAAACTTGCCTGATCCCTCTCTAGATAGTTAGCCTTCTTCCTGAGGTTTCCAAGTCATTTCCCTTTCTAACCAACCAGTTTCAGACCCAAGTTGCCTGGAGCTGACAGATAAGGAGTAAGGTTGCTTTCTAAATTCATGCTTTCTCTGTCAGTCAGTAGATTCACCTGCTCCACTATGGTGGATACTGGACAGGAAGTGGAGGCGTCTCGGGTACTTCAGTAATACTCCCTCGTATTACTTCTGTCAGGAAAGGACAAAGCAGGTGCTTTTCACCACAAGATTCCTAACCCTCTAAAACGGTTCTCCGGAATCAGCCTGGGCCACGGAGACTCTCTTTCCTCAATTCACATTCCCTACTTTATGGCCGCTCGCCTTTACTCCGCTCTTTCAAACAGCGCTGCAAGTGCTTGAAGTGCTTGCTCTCTAAATGGATTTTTACCTTGCAGTCCCCAAGTGTCTCAGCTAAAATTCCTGGGGCAGAGAGCATTTATAGTTCAGTCCATGTTTTCCTAGTCAATGGGAATTTTTTTCCCCCTCAACTCCTAACGGACTTTCTTCAGTAATATGCTTCATGGTACCCCTTGATGTGTGGGAGACTGACGTTGCCAGAATATTTCTTTTTTATGGCTTTTGTTGCTTTGACAGCTTTGATTTTATGGCAACTTTACTCATGTGTGTCCTATTCCTTCACCTCTGGCATTTTGCAAATATTCCATTTCTCTATCGCTGCTACCATAACTGAAGTCAAAAAAAAAAAAAATGTGATTCATTTGACTGTTACCCCCATGTCCTTCTGCATCCACAGGGGGAGCCCCAGAGGGACGGCCATCGAGCAAACAAGGCGATACTAAATGCTCATGAGTGAGAGCATCTATTAATTAAAAAAGGGAGGAGAAACAGAAGAGGAAGGAAGAAAAATTACGTGTATAAGTTAATGCAGCCCCAAAACACCACTGGCAGTAACTTATGCGTTGACACTTTAAATAGACTTTATGAGTCTGTTTACTCCACTCACGACTATTCTTGAAAAAAATATGCTATCAAGTATAACAACGCAAAGTACATGTGTTATCTTAAAGACACAGCGAGTCAATAAATCATACCTGAGCTTTAACAATATTATATTTCCCTTTTCTTGTATAATCATAGAATAATGGAAGTGGAAATGAAAAAGAGCCGGAGCTGGGAAAGACCAAATAGGTTATCCGTTCAATCTTGCTCTGACAGAGGATCAGTCTCAAGCAATACATCTTAGGTTTGTCATCTGGAAATGAGTGTGTGTGCGGTGTCACAGCTATCAAAGGCTTTCTTAGCAGTCAATTTCTGAATAGCACAACTCTGCTTATTTCCTCTCAACAGCACAAGTAAAATTTGACTTTGCTAATTTGCTCACCCTCTTTCGCATTCTAATTCCCTTGGACTCTGTAAACAATTTTTTTTCTGTTGTGGATACTTACACTGTTTTAATATACACTGGATTATTCCCTGGTTCCTGAATACATCCCCCAAGTAGTTGATTCTCTCAGTTGTCTGAGAGGCTTCTCCCAGGAAATATGGACAACTCCCTTCCCAGGAAAAAGGTTTGGGTGCACTGTGCTTGACCCTGAGGGAGTGAGATTAACATTACACCCCGAAGACCTTTGCAAAAGAAAATGGCTCTCTCCAGTAGTCTCCAAACAAAGAAGAGATGTGCCCATGTGCCCAGGAGCCCCTGCAACCCTCTCTGTACACCAGCGGTGACGTTCTGGTCAATTTGTCCCACTTTACACTTAAATCTCAGTAAACTAGAAACCCTGTTCATGTCCAAGATAGTACGATCCATTTCTGTGATTCTTCTTTTCTTGCAAATACTGGCATTACTTTCAAATTTCATCGAAGTACTATATACCCCCTTTTACAGATCATTAGACGTCTTTCTACACTGTGTGATGTAATGCTGCCATTTACCACCTCTCCAAATGGATGGATTCCTATTTCAAAGCATTGTGATACTTGACTTACAGAAGCTGAATAAGGCTTCAAGACAAATATTTTACAGAAGTCATTCTTGCTATCAAAACTATGCATAAGAAAGTGTTAGGGTTTGTGAGATTGACCCAAAACACTAGGTAATGTGTGCACTTTTTAACTTTTGGTCTGGTACAAAGAAGATGTTCAATAAATACACACAGAATTCAATATATATTTTTGGAAAACACATCATTTTTCAGACCAAATAGCTTTAAGTGCAGTAATCTTTTTTTTGTTTTGTTTTGTTTTGTCTGTTTGTTTGTTTTTCGGGTACTGGGAATCGAACTCATGATGTTGAGCTTGCCAGGCAGGCCTTGTGCCTCTGAACTAAATCCCCAGCCCCCAAGTGTGGTAATCTTGCTACCCAAAAGATTAAGGCCTAACAGTACAAACATGAGATCAATAGCTAGAAAATATCTGCGTAGATGTCCAGAGTTATGTTGTGCAGCTTACATGTTTTATTTTAACCTCACAAGATTCATGCAAGTCAAAGTGACAGACTCAGGTTCAAAGAGCTAACTTTCCTAAGACCACAGTTCTCCAGGGAAACGGAGCAATAGAATAAAAGTCATAGATATTAGTAGTACACTATAAAAATAATTTATTATTGTAATAATTATAATAATGAAGAAAAATTTAAATGCCATTTATTTACTAGCACATGAGATGTTTATTAGGGGAACTGGCACACATAATTACAAAGGTCAAGAAGTCCCACTATCTGCTACTCACCAGCTAGGGAACCAGGGAAGCTAATAGCATAATTCAGTTTGAATCTGAAGGCCTGGGAATCAGAAGCTCCAGCATCAGAGGACAGGCACAGATGGATGTCTCAGCCCAAGAAGAAAGAGCAAATTTGCCTTTTCACTGCCTTTTTATTTCATTTGGATCCCTAACAAATTAGGTGAAGGCAACTCAGATTGATGAAAATGGATCTTTTTACTCAGTCTACTGATTTAAATCCTAATATCTCACCCCAGTAAGAATGGCTATCATCAAGAATACAAAGGACACTAACTGTTAGCAAGGATGAGGGAGAAAAAAAGGAAACCTTCTACACCGCCGGTGGGAATGTAAATTAATACAGCCACTATGGAAATCAATATGGAGATTCTTCAAAAAAAAAAAAACACTAAAAATAGAACGGTGATTTGATCTGACTATACCATTCTTTGATATGTACCTGAAGGAATTAAAGTCAGTATTCCATAAATTCCTGCACGCCCATGTTTATTTGGCACATGTGAAGTATCCTGGATAGAGACTCATCCTCCATGCTAATCAACAGATCACACACACAATGAAGTATTATTCAGTCATAGAAAAGTACAGAAATTAGTTATTTAGAAAAGTGGACAGATCTGGAAATCATCATGTTGGGTGAAATGAGACAGGCTCAGAAGGACAAACATTGCATATTCACCCTAAAAATGACAAGAAAATAGAAGGATGACTGCTACCAGACAATTGGAAGAGAAAGAGGAGGAAATGGGAGTATAGGGACAGGTAATAAGGAACATGAATATGGTCAAAATATATTATATACATTAAAACTCCAAACACCTGTGAAACGAGGGGTGAGGGCAACTATAAAGTACGCTACGTGTATGCGTGAATCTCCAAACCAAGCCCATTAATCTGTATAACCAACATGCACTAACAAAAGAGTGGGAATTTTCTTTAGAAAACCTTACTCTCTTCCTGAAACTCTTTCATAACAAATCCAGAAATAACGTTTTGCCAGCAATCTGGCAAACCTTAGCATAGTCAAAGTGACACAAAGGAAACCACCACAGAGACTGAGACAGAACTGTAACACATGTACATCTTATCAGCCTCTGGAATGTTGTGGAGAATATGGATTTCTAAAAAAAGAAACAAGGAAAGCCAGGAGTCCCATGAGAGAACTTGGTCAGTGGTCTTTGTGTGCACAATGGCACAGAAACATGAAGTATGCTTGGGATATCCTGAGGTTTTGCTAAAATGGAGACAGCTATATCAGTCACCTTTCTCATGGATGATACACAACACCCACAACTTAAAGGAAAGGAGGTTTAATTTGCTTTGTGGTTTCAAAGGATTCAGTCCATAACCAGTTGCTCCTAATGCCAAAGCATCATGGTGGAACAAATCTGGTTAGTTCCTGGTGGCCAGGAAACAGGTCAGGCAGATCTGTCAGAGCAAAACAGGCCAGGGACCAGATAAAAACCCTGAGGCCTTGCCTCCATGACCTCTCCAGACACACTTAGAAACTGTGAAGTGTGTTCTAGCAGCTTCTGGGGCAGATCCCAAAGCCAATCAAGTTATAATTCCACCCTAGGCATCATGACAGGTATAAAGGAGAGCTACAGGGGTTATAATTGGAGAAGTTGAAGTCTGGTAAGAAGGCCCTTGCTGGTTTTTACTTTTGCTTGTCAAGAAGAATATGAGATTTATTCTATCTTGAAACATTCACTGAGTAGCTTATGTTAAAAGAGCACTGGCATTTCTGTTTTGTGACATTAAGAACTGATTTGAAGAGAATACAGAGAGATAAGGAAATATATGGGGATATTGTGCTAGTCCAGGTAAAGGATGATTAGGGACTGAACTAAGGGAGGCTCTGTGAGAACAGAAGAAATGAATAAAACTGACACATTTATTTGCTGAGGGGAGCTGAGTAAAAGGAGGCTAACTCATTGTTAAGTGATATTACGGTGATCTCCTCCACAGAGGTCAAACTGTAGAGCCTGGTGACTATAATAGAAGATAACATGTGTACAGGATAAAGTCATTGGCTGTAAAGGGAGGGATGAGCAAGAAAAGCTCATGTGGAGCCCTCCACTTCAATTAATTAAATACTGAGTTTGAGAACTATATCCAGTCTAGTAGGATAGGTGAGGACAAGACTTTGGAGTTGGATG